TGGATGGCCCAACTGAAGCCATATATAATTTCTCATTATTTTACATAATATATATGGTGACAAATAAATATTTGTATAAATTTTCAAAAGAAAAAAACATTTAATAAGTCTTTTCAGTCAGGTAAGAAAAAAATAAATAACTTTTGCAATTAAAAACTTAACATTTACTAACCATTAATGTTACCTACTGTATATGGTCTGTCCTGTGCAGAATGACAAAATGCTAAATTATTTCTTTTCTAAAACCTCTGTAACTTTGCTCCAGTTAATTTTAGCAGCATAAATCTTTGCACATGTTATGTACACAGTGGGTTTATGCTTTCCAAGAGTTTTTAGCTTACTTCATTATGGTTTTAAATGGTTATATACTGTTTAATTCAAAAACTCTTCAGGCGAGAGAGAAAAAAAATAAAAAAAAGTTATGTTCCATCCTCAATATCTCTAAAACCACAGCAACTGTTTTAAAACTTACACTTCTAATTATATTTCCAAAGTGTTAGCTTTATTTTGATACAAAGATTATTTAAGTAGAGTTTGTAAATCCTGAGATACACTCAATTACATTTCAGTATGGTATTTCGAGCAAAAACATCAAGAAAACCCCTTGGGGCTTCAGAGGTTAAAACAAGATCTTAACTAGACTCAGAATAACCCAAATGAAGGTGWTTTGTTTTCTATTAAAAAAAGCCAGATAATCATTAGATCCAGTCACCACTTAGATTCTGAGTCACAAGCTTTGTCACATGAATAGTTCTGTAAGTTATCCTCTAAATGTATGCTCCTCCAGTGTGTAGTGTGTGGGGATTAGGCTGCGGCTGTTGGGTCACTGTGCAGATGTTGGTCATAGGAGGTGATAGAGGAGTGTGGTCCAGAAGGCACACAGACAAACACCGGACAGAGTCACGGCCAAATCAGTGCTCTGCTGGAGCCACTGCAGGACATTTACAGAGAGCCAGGAATTCTCCACTTCACCCTGGGTTCTGCCCGTGGTGCCGCCCTGCCCTTCATAAATGTCAACAACAGGAAATGTTCTTCTTCTTTGCCCAGATGTTCTGCATCTGTGTTCTGTAGGAGTATAAGACAGTGAAGAAATGTAAAGATGAATGATGGATTATATTAAAGGAGATATATTAAGGCGACATGTGGGAAAACTGTGCCATCTTGTGGTCAATGATTGTAAGTGGGTGAAGTAATAACATTTAACCTACCCAGGCAGCTCTGAATAGGCACAACCACGACAAAGACAAGGACAGAGAAAACTGATGCATATACCTAAAAAAATAAAAAACATAAAAAAGACCTAAATAAATTACTAATGTTCTCTTCACATGCAGCAGTGTGTAATAGATTAAAATCTATTGATCAAATCCTATTTTAATTATTTTCTTTATCTCAGTAATTAAAAGATGGCTGACGAGTAAAAAGCAGGGCATCTGGAGGTGTGATCGTGCTTTTCTCTCACTGCGTACAGTACGAGCTGACTGTCTCATGCCTACCAAGAGGAGCTGTGCATGGCTCTGAGTCATGCTGCTCAAGGCTTTTCCCATCTGGAGTCCGAGCAGAGCTAAAGAACAGGGTGTAACTGCCTCCTCATCCTCACTCTCTACACATCTGAGGAGATAAAACAGTAGAAATTGTGTTACACACAGTAAGAGCTCTCATACTCCTCTTGAATCAATAACGGTGGAAAATACTGAAGGTAAATGGATAATTTGGCTGTTTTTAAGTGAGTTCCTGTGTAAATGTTATAAATAGTTAATGTCTTACCTGAGGTGGATGAGTTTTCAGATGACCTTAGTTTATCTCTGATATAAGTGACAAGCTAAAAGCTAACAAAAAAGATTACCCCTGCCTTAAAACTACATTGTTAACAAGAAGACTATTTTACGATTTGTGATCAAATGATGACATATAGCTGGAATTGCATATTTCTCCTAAAATATAAAGTACTTTTACTCTAAAATGTAATGTGGTGTAAAGGTTTAAATAATAGAACTGCTTTGAAATTTTGAAGATAAGAGCTGTTTTAAGAGAAGAGAAATCTACTTTAGTAGAGGCCTGGGCCTGAAGGTAACATAGTGTGCATGTTTTTTTTGGCTTGTGGGAGGAAACCGGAGTACCCGAGAAAACCCATGCAAGCATGAGGAAAATATGCAGACTCAGCACAGAAAGACCCCAGGTCTGAACTGGGGATCAAACCCAGAACCTTCTTACTGTGAGGCAGCAGTGCTAACCACTGACCCCGGATTTTTTATACTGCATGTATCTCCGCTGCGCAGGTCGCAGCTGTGCGTTTCAAGTCCAGTTTACACTACCTMCGCTCCGCTCCGGTCCGACAGACGTGCAGGAAGCAGATTGTGCGATAAATTCAGTGATAAATGTGGAAGTCACAGCAAAAAATAATTACTTCTGTGAAAGACGAACTCCAAACACAGCTGAAAACATTGATAAAAAGGCTTTTGGTATCTATGTTGAAACTGTCTCGCTGTCGGCTTTCTGAAACTTCTGATTTCAAAAAAAAACCCACGTGTATCGTGTGTGTGTGTACAGATATGCTTCATGCTACATGTTTCCATCTGCTTCCCAAACAGAACAATAGATTCTGACAGCATTTGTGTAGAAATATATCCGTATATTTATTAACATAGCTGCAATTTCGACATTATTCYGACAAATTATTCTGCCGAACAGTGTCTTATTTTGAAAATACGGATGTTGTGCTCGTTCCTCTTCCTGTTGGTGCRACGTAATCTTTAAAAATTGACTCCRGCRYWGCTMYGGCATCCGGCAAAAATAGGATCTGTTCTAATTTTGACGGATCGCCGTCCGCTCACTGCTGCCSTGCRCAGCCAGTGTAAACACWCATTGATTATAATGGGTGCGTATTTGCTGCGGAGGTCRGACCAGAGCGGAGCGGAGATGGMACGCAAGCAATGTAAATTGGGGGTGAGCCATAGTGTTATATAAATGTTCTTGCATCATAATGCTCGGCTCAGTCTGCCCCCTCTCCAGTCAGCCCAACCTTACCATGTCCTGGCCCTGGTTGTGTTTGTATTGAGCAGAAAGCTGCCTCAATATGGGCGGGATCATTAATTCAACCCATTCTCRTTCCCAACTTATCACATATTGACACTTGGTCAGGTACCAACTGTGAGTTATTAACATGATGAGACAGAGGAAGAGGAGCGTGTTGTCATATTTTTGAAAAGAATAGGAAATGCATGACAGCTAACCAGCCCAAACCCTAAAATTGAACTATTATTAACCCTAGGCATCCTATCCCTGACCTCAGTACCTAAAATTAACCAATAATCCTGATACCTCATAYTGACCACAGACCCCCAACCCAAAGACCTATGTGGCACAACCCGAAAAAGCCGCTGATGTAAATAACTGATGCGAGGGGGTTACCCGACGCAGCAAAGCTGGATGCAGTCTGGAGTGAGAACATGTTGTAATATTAAACACACGTATGTGAGGATGTGTGCAGGAAGACCCAGGGCGCAGGCAAAAATTCAAAGTGTAACAAAAAGATTTATTAAACAACAAAAGGAAGAGCTGTCGTGGCAGCAAACTTACAGAAATCTTGGGGGGGGGGGGGGGGGGGG